AAAAGGGTGGTGGGGGGGGGGGGGGGGAAATTAGTCTCTGTGAGCCCATAAATAGTCTTTGAAATTCTACAGGGAGCTGGAGAGTCCTAGGTGCCATCCCTGGCAGCTTTGGCAACTCACTCCCTTTCCTTCTCACAGTGGCCATTCTAACTAAGGGCAGATAAATTCATATCCCCTTACTTCCTGGAACTCTGGCACATGTGACCAGGACATGTGACCATGCACATCATCTCTGGGGGGAAAATGCCTTTCCCTGAGATCTCTTGAGATTTTGCAGTTTACAGATGAGATTTCCCAGCAATGCATTGCTGATGTAACCTTCCCAAGATGCAATGCTTTGGCACATTACATCACTAATGCCCAAAAGGCTCTGGAATTGGAAAAACTGTAATTGTAAGTATAAGAAAATTATGTTTATTTAACTAATGAATGTAAGATGATTTTATATCAGCATGCAGAGCTGAATGCTGATGTGATTTTTAGTGAAAGGAGGTAAAGGACTGCTTTAAATGGAATTAAAATAATCACATTACATGGCAATTTAATTGCCTCTGTCAAATGTATGTGGGATATTGCCAACTTGAGGCTTGGTAAAGAACAACTTCCATAGGTCACAGATTGAAATGTTTAAATTATAAGCAACTTCCACAGCTAAATCAGTTATGCACTTTCCAAGGATCTATTTTCTATACTTCATATATTTTGCAAGACTTTGTCAGACAGGTTTCCACCGCATTTCTTTAAAAATGTTAATTAAACAGATAAAACTTTAGCCTCAGTTTAGTTTTACTAAAGTGCCCCACATAATACACAGCTCCACATTGCAAGGCACAACATCATGCCAGGGAGGTGGTATGCCCAAACCATGGAACTATAAAGCATTCTGTTATTTGGGCCACAAACCGTGCAATGATTACTATCTACTGTCTGATCACTCCAGTGTTTGTAAATAACTGGGGACACATAGTACTATGTGTCCCCAGTTATAAATTAATGAACAGGATGTGATTTACATCACGTCCTCTTCATGCATGAGTTTCTCAATGGGGAGAAGCACTCTGTAGAGGCTCCTCCCCATTCAGAAACTGCTTGATAGTAAATATTTTCTGAATGAATGGGAAGCCTCTGTGCTTCCCATTCATTTAGAATAGAGGCTGCAGGACTATGTGTCCTCAATTTCTTTTTCTATTTTAAAAGGGAAATTTTCGTTAAAAAAATTACGAAAATGTAAAAAATAAATAAATAATGAAAAAAAAAAAAAAAATTTAGTGCCTGCATTCTGGTCCAGTGCGATCTGCAAAAATAGTGCTTGCAGCATTTTTGCGGATCGCACTGGACTGGAACACAGGCACTAATGCAAGCAATCGCAGTGTGGGCGAGGGGCCTGCCTGCGGAGCCTGGCTGCGGTGCCATTGACTTCAATGCACCGCCACGCCCCCTCCCGCCCCTGAATGCAGGTGTTTTTTCGTTGGTAGATCTCAATGAGCTCGTCATTTGAAAAGTAGATCTCCAGACGAAAAATAGTGGGCGCCCCTGATCTACTGTATATGCCATGCAGTGACATGGGATTTCTTAGATGGCTGATGTGCAGTGAGTACACATTGACCCTATGGTCTGTTTTCATTTTAGTTGCACTTTAATTTCACTAAAAGTATAGAAAGGGATTAAGCAAGTATTTTTTCAAAAATATGTAAATCTAAAATTAAAAAAAGAAGCTGTTTTGATATTTAAAAGTTTTAGCCCTCTTTTTTTATTTTAATAAACTAATACCAAAATTGTGAAGAAAAATAAACACATTTATAAGAGTCTCCAAAACAAGACTTACATGTGAAATACTTGGGAAATGCCTGCTATCAAAATAATAATAATGTCAGACAAAAA